TGAAAAAATAAGGAGAACATCTATTTTACTTTTTTTGAACTCATCTAAATGCAAAGTCATTTATACAAAGATAAATAAGACTCAGCTATGAAATTACCAGACCTGCTAATTATGCTATAATAATTAGAAATTATATGAAAAAGACATGTACAAAGTAAGACCTTGAGCAGGCTAGAGTCACTTGAAACTAGAGTTTCATGTAAAAGAATAATAAAAGTTCTCCTCATTTATGTATTTGAGCAAAATGTCTCAGGCTTCCAGTTCAAGATGGCAAATTTAACATGTATTTACAGTACTGCCTTTTCTCCTTAAGAGCCACAACAGATATTTATTGAGCACCTACTATGTGACAGGTAATTGAAATTACATTTAATAAGATGAACCCACAAAGAATCCATCAACAAAACAGAACTTTGGGCAACTTCCTCAAACTCAGAAAGATGATGACTTATGCTGATAAACCAGAGACAGCCTTATGTACATCCTATAAGAAGCCCAAGCAAAGGAGGTGGTAATAAATAAAAGAAGAAACAGTAAAGAAACTCTCAGCTCCTCTTTATTATATAAATCAGGAGTTAGCAAGCTTTCTGTAAAGGGCCAGACAGTGCATATTGTTGGTTTTGCAGCTTATACAGTCTCTCTCCAAAGAACTCAGCAAATACAGTTTCTCTTACAAATATCAGCCCTGCCATTGCAGTGTGGAAGCAGTGTAGACCATATAGGAACAAATGTGGTTGAGTCCCAGTAAAACTTTATTTACAAAAACAATAGGTGACAGTTTTTCAATCTCTGAACTACAATTTTACCACTGTGGCTACATTCTATAAAATGGGCAATTTTTTTTAAAAGAACATTTTAAGGTAAAAATGTCTAGAATTTTATCTTTAGTTCAGCCTCTTCCCTCTGCTTTCCCCACACACTGATTTCCAGCATCCCCATGATCAGTCAGTTATATGAGGCCGGTCTTGACATTTCCTTCTCCACCCTTGATCTTAACCAACATCAAACTCTAGTCATTTCCGTTCTTATGTGAACCAGTTCGCAACTCCTCTTAGCTACCAACAAGGTCCCTGCAGTGGTCTCCTGTGAGCTCTACTCTTTCCACCCCTCCATTCTCCCCTCTCCATTTTTAGTAATGTGGTCAACAAATATTTATTGAACCCTGGTGCTTTGTTCCAATCTGGCATACAGTATATGCTTAGTAAGTACCTGTGGAATGAATGAATGATTGCTTACTACCTACCTAAAAGAAAATATCTCCAGTTTAGATCTTCACTCCCTTTCAGGGGTTTTATGTAATTCCAGTGTAAGGAGTGCTAAACTAGAAAAACTACAAAGGAAATAACACAACATTATCATTTGTAATAAGAATTACTAATAATTCTAATTTCATTAAGCTTACTAAGGAGTCCAAGCCACTAATGATCCCTTTCCTGTAGAATATGATGTTAGTCACCAGATTTCTGGTTCTTTCAGAAACCAGAGTGAATTGCAGATTTTCACTGTCTGTCCCCTTCAAGACAGACTGTCATATGACTTGTTTCAGTCCCTAAAATGTGAGGAACAATGACAGGCATCAGTTCCAAGCAGAGACTAAAGTTTAAAGTCGATGTGCAGCCTTCCAGCTCTCACCACCTGTTTTAGTTTCATAAGAAGTTACTAAAACTGGGTGACTTAGAACCTCAGAAATGTATTCTCTCACGGTTTTGGAGGTTAGACATGCAAAACCAGGATGTCAGCGAGGCCATGCTCTTTGTAAAGGCACCACAGAGGAGTTCTTCCTTGCTCTTCCAGGTCCTCCTATTGTTGGCATTCTTGGTGTTCCTTGGTTTGTAGATGCAGCACTCTAGTCTCTGTGTCCAGCTGCATGTAGAATTCCTCTTTGTGTGTGGATCTTTATGTGCTTCTGTATCTAAATCTCCCTCTCCTTTCTCTTACAAAGACATCATCATTGGATTTAGTCATTTGACACACAAAACCCAGTATGACTTCATCTTCAGTTTTGTTTTGGTACCAGGCATTGAACTTGGTACCTTGCGCTTGTGAGGCAGGTGGCAGAACCACTGAGCTAAAATCCCGGCTCTATCTTCAGTTCATTATATCTGGAAAGACCCTACTTCCAAATAAGGTCACACTTATAGGTACTAGGGGTTAGGACATGATTTAACCCAGTATACCACTCTATACTGCCAGTCATGAAGCATGTTTTAAGATGGAGCCTTTGTCAACCTGGGTCAACAAGTGACTGCCATGAGACAGGCGTGGTTTTCCCCTGCTCACCTCATTTCAGTCCCATGTCTTCTGAGTACAGTGACAAGCAAATCACCTGTCCAGCTTCGACGTTCACAATGTCTACCTCTCTGTTTTTGCTGACTACATTTAATTAATTCATGTAAATTAAATGTGTCTACACTGTATGTCACTTGCTTATAACTTGCTGTTGCCCTTCCTCCACAGGGTAGATCCCAGGTGATCATCTGTTACTTATGAGTACTGGCTGTATGCTTGCCATTATGTTGTGTACAAGAGGGATTTCAGAAAAATAAACAAAAGGAGCCCAGTTGGAAGAAGGACACAACCTAATCTGGTGGGAAAGACAAAAAAGACCTATTTCAGTGTTCGCCATAATTGTCAGGAGAGACAAATGATAACATTTAATAAGAGGTAACTGTAAAATGGCTCCCAGTCTGTTCCAGCCACTGTGCTCAGCACCTTCCAGGTGTTACTCCCTTTAAACCCCATGGGGTTTGTATCCCAGGAGGGTGGTGTTTTATAGCCATTTTACAGGAGAGGAAACAGAGGCTTCAAAGATTAAGGAATTTGCCCAGTGGTGTCAGGAACTCCAACTCGGCTCATTCTGATGCACTAACATGGGGTTCTATTGACTCACTTGTATTATACCTTCAGTTCAGCTGAGCCTCTGTGCATGGTTAGAATATGGGTCTATACTCAGAAACACTCAAGGTTCATGCCTCACCCCCAGTTATCCCTGGACTGAACTGATCATGCAGAATCATTAACAGGCTGCAGTAATAAAATAGAAAACTACTCTTCAATTTTCATTTAATTTCTGGTAGGTTGGCCTTCCTACCTTATTTTCCAGACTAACCCAAATTCATTCATTTTTCCATTTATAAGAATTGAAGTCAGATTTGGCTTTCAAATTTAGCCATGGATTTCAGACATTTTATCAAGAACCTCCAATTCTCCTCTAAAGCCTTAAAGCAAATCAAAGACCCCAAAGAGGGTTGGAGGTGTAGCTCAGTGGCAGAGTCCTTCCTTGCCAGCCTAGCATGTGCAAGGCCGTAGGTTTGATCCCTGGCACCTAAGGGGGCGGGGAGCAGTCCCCAAAGGAACAACATGAAACCAAACCAATACTGTTTTCAAAACAGCCTTATGAGGATTGTTTTCCAAACAACACTGCAACAAGACAGCCACTTTTGAGATCAGATTTTGCCTGTGTATGCTCAGAGAAGCAGGGAATACCCAAGCTGGCATTCAATAGTAGTGAATATAAAATAGGCTATTTTAAAAAAAATTCTAAGAAAGTTAAAATCCATGTTGACTGGTTTTTACATTCGCCCGGCAGCGTTCCCATGCTCTGGCTGGCATGCAGACTGGAAAAGTCTGTCACTTGCTACTGTTTCCACTTATTTTACTGTAACTCTAATTTTAACAGTTTTTTAAAGTTAAAAAAAAAAAAAGGTTGATTCCTTCTGTGTTTTTTGTTTCAGAACATTTCCCAACATGAAAACATGCTGAAAAAAATGAGGGGGTTTAAAAATTAAAGATTTGAGTTTCTCAAATTCAGCTGTTTAACATTCAGATAATTGCCTGCCCTTTTCATATGGTTTTTTTTTTTTAACATTTCGTCTGAATGCTTTGGCATGGGGGAGCCTCACAGTCTGCAAGTAGCTTTGTCTCAACTCTCCTTACTGCATTTATTAAAGAGGCTGAACTATGCAGACACTTTTCAACAGTCTGTGGTTCTGAAAGAGGAAAGTCGGAGGTTCTGAGCATGGGGCGGGGGACCAGGGAGCGTTCGAATAAGTGTAGCGTGGTCACACCTAGGTAACTCTTGAAATCGTCTTTGTTGATGTGTACAGGTGGAGTTAGGCTAGGGTCAGAGAATTTGTCATTTGTCCTCTCATGAAGTGATTAGACGCCAGTGGCCACTCTGTTCTTGTTTACATGCACGAAGGAATCACAGTAACGCCAAATCACCTCTTCTAAGACTAAACGCTGGTCTTCCTGGGCTGGAAAATGAGAGCGAGCTGCCCACCTATGGGTTAAGGAGCCTCAGGCTGGCACACGGAGCTGGGAGTTCTCATTTCCCGTTGGCATCATCCTGAGCTGCTCTGGCTGAAGAAGAACGGAGGAAATACATGTGAGGAAAATCAGAGAAGAGAAGGTCAGGAACACATGTGAGCGTCAAGGGAAGGCATTTTAAATTAAAGAAATACGCCTTCCACAGCTGGAAGGACAAACTCCTCCGCCATCAGGGTCGTCGGTGACTGGGGGCTCTCTTTGTTCTTTTCCCTAGCTTATCACGTTTCCAGAGTTGGATGTGTCTTTCCTGTTCAGCTGTCCCACGAGGACAGAACTGGTGGCACTATATGACATACAGTGGGTGCTCGTATGGATGAGCACAAACGAACACATTCGGGGCTGTCGCGCACCCCCACCCCGCGTCTCATGTGCCCGAGGCGCCTGGCACGTAGTAGCCTGTCCCGACATCTGCAGAGCAAATGATCTGCAAGTTGTGGCCAGGGAGCACGTGGAGCTTTGGAAACCAGGACAGCAAAGGAGTGTCTCTGAGACCACAAAAGCGACTCTGGGGCGCGTGCGGAAAGGAGCGGCGGGCGACCGCGGGAAGAATGGCATGGAGCGGGGCGCCCCGCGGGAGGCGCTGCCTGCGCCGCGCCCGGGCTAGGCGGGGCGCAGCACGTGCGTGGCTCGGGGCGGCCGGGGGTGGGCGCGCGTGTGCGCCGGGGGGCGTGGGGTGTGTGCCCGCGCCGTGCCCCTGTGCGCGCTGCCGGGCGGCCGCCGGTGTGAGTCACGGCAGGACTCGCCTTTATAATCGCACTCGGGCTCTCGGAGCCGCCGTCTCGCCCGCCCGCTGTCGTGCGTACCTCCGCGCCCGACCGGCCCAGCGCCCCTGACCGCCCCAGCCGCGGCGCACGCCCGAGGGCGCAATGAGAAGCCCGCGCTGTGCCCAGGTCCTGCTCCTGCTCCTGCTGCCGCCACTGTTGCTCTCACCCTGGGCTGGGGACGCCGCGGTGATCACCGGGGTAAGAGCCCGGGCGCACCTGTCGGCGCGGGGCGCACACCGGGATTCGCCCGAGGGAATTGGGACTGGGGCGCAGAATGGCGTGCAGGGGAATGGGGAGGGTCGCCAGGGGCAGGGGACACCTGTCTGAGCCGCCCTTTGGTCCACTTGGGACCAAAGCTGCCGACGACTCGAGACACGAGAAAAAATGACGAGTGTCAACCACCACCTTGCCCACCACTTTCCACTTCTCCCTCCTGACCCCACAACCTCGCGCCTGGGCTTGAGTCTGTTTGCTAGGTGACAGAAGTTTCGTTGAGTCTTTTTAGGTACTTTTCAAGGCCCTGCAGTCCCGAACCGTTCAAAATTGACGACCCCTCCCTGAAATGCAAGGAGGCGAGAGGAATATCCCTAGTCCCGCCGGTCTTAATCCGAAATTCACGGAGTTTGCCCCCCCCCCCGCCCTGTGTGTCCCCAGCAGAAACCCTTTGAAATGACTTGGGTCAAGGCCATATATGCGCTTTGAAAAGCAATTGTGGCCTCTTCCTCCCGGGTTCCGGTGTTTTTCTTTCTTTCCTTCAGCCTCTTGAGGTCCTCCCTGTAAAACTTTTCCGTTTCTGGGTCCTGATAAAGCACCTCCAGGACGTCAGGATGGAGGAGGCTGCCAAGCAAACCCTCTTTAAACCCAGGACGTCTTCATCACTTTTGGAAGTGGCGCCTAGTCAGTACTGTCCGACTCCCCACAGTTTTCTTTGTGTGTATCTGAAGAATGAGTGTACAGTACAAACTGGAAAGGTCTAGTCTAGTTTACCTCAATTATGCAAAACCTCTGCGACTTGCTCGTTGTTCAACTGTCTTACTCTTTTTTTAAATGTTGAAGTATTTCACTTCATTAAATTCATTTATTCTATTAAATTACTTCAAATATCAAGATACATGTTATCAGGCTTAATTAAAAATGGAATATATGTACTTTAAACGAGACATAGATAGGCAATAACATTTGATTTAAAGGAAGTGTTGTTATCAAGAGAAAATAAAGCTCTGTTGCCTCTCTATTAGTCAGTAGTTTGATGACGTTTTGAAAGCCCTGTACTATGACAGTATACAGTATTTGATTACATTCAATACATAGTTATGAACTTGCGGTATTTATTAGATTTTTTTAAATTATTTGTATAACTTTGTCAGTAGCCCATGTGGTTGAACAAAAGTTTGTCCAGGTCTTTTTAAAACATGAGAATTGTAACAGGGTTGAGTTTGTTTCCGTCTTCCCCTGCTGGCTCATTTTAAATGTCTCCTAATCCTCTGAGCACAAGATTCCTTTGCAATGTAAGTATCTTTTTGTTCCATTCACAGGAAAAGGCTAGTTGAATAGGTCTCCAATGGGTTAAGGATGAAGGGCATTAGGAAACAACTGTCCAATTAAAATTACATAAACTTAAGTAACTCTTTGCAAATTCTCCAAGAACTGAAGCTTTTCTGTTGCAAAATGAAATTTTATCACATTGTATGTCTATTGAAGAGGTTTGGGCTGGGTTTATTATGTGGTCGTGTGTGCTGCTGCTGTTGTAACTCGGTGTTACAAAAAGAGTATTTTTAAAGCTTTCTCTTAAGCCACATGGCAATAAAATGTAGTTACATTTCCCTGACAGGAACCATCTGGATTCAAATGAAAATCTCAGTGACTTATCTAGATATATATAGGATGTTAAACATCCAAGTGATTGATTGAATTTTAAAGGATTTTGGCTGGATTTTTGATTGTCTTATAAAAAGAGCTGGTGGGGCTTCAGAATTCAGGGTATTAAGCATCTGCTGAAATAAAATATTGGCTGAAACTCTCAGCTTAAGTATTTACTTTTTTTAGTAATACATAGGTATTTTGAAGTTGATTTATATGTCCATATAGATTTGTTAAAATTGTATTGGAAAAGATTGTTAACTGGACATCTCATCCATGGAATGTGATGTCTACGTATACATGTTTTCTGGCATACAGATTAAAAACTGGAAAATGGAAATGGTTGAGGGCTCTATATAATCCAAACCACACAAAATGAAATGATAGCTTTAGCCACATATTTGTTTAAAATAGATGGAAAAATTCTAACAGAGAAAGTAAATAAGCTCCAACACAATAATACTAAGAATGAGCCCATATTGTTATGTTTTGAGAAGTTATGACTGTCCTCAAGACTGAGTTCTTTGAAAGACTGGACTGTTTTAGGTGTTTCTAGCAAATGTACATTTAAATTTGTGCCTAAATTATAGACCTTTTAGCATCTCTCATATACAGTACAGGATGGTTTACTTTATCACTAGCAAAACAGTTATTGCGCAAGATAGTGTCCCATTTTTTGTTAACTCTGGGAAAGAAAAATAGTTCTTCAGATCCATTTTTATGCAAATAAATTTAAACGCCATTATTTGTGTTCAGTAGACTATGGAAAATCCTCCATAGTTGATTCTTTGATTACAGGTATTTACCAGTTTTATATTGGGAGCAGGTAGTTTGGGTAATTACTGTTAATAACTGCAGCTGTTACTTAAATGTATTAATCTGGAGGATGTTATGGGATAGCTAGGCTGATTTTGTAGTATGACATATGTACAACTTAAGCCAGTAATTTCCATTTTACAACTTATTCAGCTGAAAGAAAAGTATCATAAGATACAAGTCTTAATCTGTCCATTCTCAACCTATGAAACTTCTTTTTTAAAAGAGGAAATGGTGAAAATCAATTTAGTGATGTGAGAAACAGTAAATCTCATGAACCAAACTGCAAATATTTGAAAGGGAAAATGACCACTTCTAAAATTTACATCAGTGCCTTTATAGGTCTAGAGTGTTTCATGTCAGATTTAGAGACCATTTATATCTCTTTTTAACATTAGGCCCAATGTATTCTGCAGTTAATAGTCATAAAACCTTGTGATTCGATTATGTAGTTCCTAATGGGCATATATAGTGTAAGACTAATATAGACTCATTCTTTAAGTTCCAAGCCAATTCAGCCATAAAGCACTAGGAAAAGCTGATTTTGATTTTTTAAAATCTTATGTTTATGATTTTCATAGTGTAGGAGCTTTTATGTAGTCCATCTTTTAAAAACTGGAAAAATCTATTCTGGTCAGACTTTAGTATAAATATGTACAAGTAAATGAAGCTTACAGTTCCTTTTGTATATATATACATGATTATTAAAATCATAGTGTTGGGTATTTAAAGAGCATTTTCACTGCTAATTGTAGATTTCTCTAGCCTGTATCTTTCCCGTTGTCTGTATTTATCTGTTTGTTTATTGCATTTCAGGCCTGCGACAAGGACCCCCAGTGTGGTCGAGGCATGTGCTGTGCTGTTAGTATCTGGGTTAAGAGCATAAGGATTTGCACACCTATGGGCAAAGTGGGAGACAGCTGCCATCCACAGACTCGAAAAGTTAGTGTATCTATTTGCATTTATGGTAATTCTCCTCTGTTGCTGTATCTTAACTCCAAGCAAGGCCTGTATAAGACTGGAAGCCTGGGGTAGTGTCCCCGAAGTTGGACGTCAGAGGAGACAGTGATAGGAAAGAACCACCCTGTCCTATCCTGTCCACTATCGATGTTCTTGCTGGCGTTAGAAACATATTGTCAAAATAATTTCTAACAGATGAATAGGACCAGAAATTATTTAGGAAAAAGTGTATATCAGATTTCTAATATGTTTCTTTACAGAAACCAAAGTATAAAAGTTTCTGAGAAGACTTAGTATTAGACCTGCTGATAAAGCAGAAATAGGATTTGTGTTTTGTTTTTTCAGAAAATTACCAATAATGCCATTCCTCTTACATCTTAACTTAAAAGTTTGATGTTTTGTCTCTGTGCTCATAGAATACATGGTTCATGATTGGAGAGATTAATGATGTTTAATTTAATTTAATGAATGACATTTTAATTTTATTATGTAAAGGCCCAATCTTATAGTGACCTGAATAACATTTTGGGAAAGTTACTGTCACTAAGTGGCATAACCGGAGGACTTCAGGATGGGTTTGGACAGGGCTTTGGAGGTTATGCTTACCTGTGGGGCCCGCAGGTGTGCATTCATCAGGAGAGGGGTTGGAGGGAGGCAGAAAGGAGCAGTAAAGCGTGTGGCGCTGCTGGAAGGTGGGTTCGTGCCCTGCAAATTAAAGACATTTGGAATACTGTACAGCACCAGCAGATCCCCTAGGGCTGCCAGGTTGCAGGCCCTCACTCCAGTCTCTCCTCCCCCGTGTACTTGTCTGTGAATTGTGGTCCGGGGCATTGAGCCCCAGGCCGGAAAACTGGCTGAAGGCAGAACTCAACTTCTTTTTGCTGTTCTCGCTCCACATTTTATACTCTGTTGAATATTTTCAAGTCCAACAGAATTCTACCTTCTACTTTATTTTTTCCACATGTGATTCACCATTTACAACTATAATAGAACTAGACATCTTTCCTGTAATCTACAGTGCCAGATATCACTTAATATTTTGCCCTTCTTAGAGCAAACATGATTAAGTAAACTGTGGGCTGTGGGCAGAAATACAGGTTCTAGTTGACCCAACCCATCTGAAGACTAAATTAGCCGTTGACTTTTCTGTGGTTGCCTTGTGCAATGCTTCCTGTTACATCCAGACTATTCCTCCCTGTAGTTTCACCACACAAGACTGTATTGCCGTGTTCAAATATGATATGCACCTTTTACTCTTGGACATCTGAAGACAGACAAGGTTTTAAAGCATGAGTTGTCACTCTCAATGCCAAACTCCCCACGAGTAGGTAGAGCGGCCCAGTCGCCTTGGGCACTGCTCTCAGCTCTCAGAATGAGGATTGGATGTGAGTCCTTATTGGTACCTTTCAGTCCTTGTCTCTGAAAAGTTACTCTTCCCCTTCTCCTTCAGGAATTGTGGCACTTTCTACAGTGTTAGAGTAACTTCACATGTTCTAGACATGTGAAATCTATCTAGTATTGTTTCCTTAAAGAGCAAGTGGCGTGCAACACGACTGTGGAACTCTTTTCATGTTAATAATAATAGTTGCCACTTGTTAAGTGCTATGATGGGCCAGATGCTGTGTTCTGACTGTTGCGTGTTCTGACTGAATACTCACCACAAGCCTGTGGGTTAGGTTATTTTTGTCACATTCTATATACAGCCACATTAAGCTTTAAAGAGGTTTAGAAGCAAGTCAAGGTCCCACAGGGATGTGCTAACCTTCCCTTCTTTCTGACATGCCATCGTCCATGTGGTCCTGTCATGGAGTTCCTCTGCCTCTGTGAAAAGAAATATTCTGTTAATTTGAACATTTTTAAAGTACAATTAACCAAAAATAGCACGGATGGATAACAGAGACTAGATTATTCACTGGGATAAGGGCTAATGGTCTGGAGTGGGGATCTGTGCCCTGTGGTAGTTTTGATAAGTTTTCCAAATCTGAGATGTTTGAAAGAGAATCAAATTGTCCCCTGGTTCCTCAACAACTTCAAATTCAGATTTAGTGCCATGTCACTTCTAAAAGTTAACAAAATCAATCATCTCTCCTAAGCCTATGTTTGTCTTTTTTTTGTAATCACAGGTCTAGTAATAAAATCTTGAACAGATAATGGTTTCCATAGTAAAATTAAGTATTAAAATAACAGAAGCAGTAAAAGATAAGGTTTATGTCAGATTTTATATTGCCTCCATTCAGATGTCTACTTGGAATGATTTCTAGAACTCAATTCATAACATTTCCTACTATTATTTTTTCTTTTCATTTTTAGAAATATATTTTCAAAGGTCATTTTGATGACCTTCTTTTTGTATGTGGTACCGGGGATTGAACTCAGGACCTTGCGCTTTCGAGGCAAGCACAGCACCACTGAGCTAAACCTCCAGCTTGATGACCTGTTTTAAGAGTAGGTCCTGGAGTTGCTACTTGTTACAGATGAAAACAACATTTTCTTTTTTAAAAATCTGATTATGTATGGTCTTATGTATGGTCTCCTCAAAACAAATTGAGGAAAAAGTTTTTTATAAATATATCCTGGTAGACATTATGGTACAGCATTTAATTCTACTCAAGTTAAATGGTTTCATAGTAGATAGAAAAAATGGAGACACTATAGAAAATTATTTTGTCATTTTGGTTTGGCACACCTGTTAGCCAGCAAAATACATTTGAGTAAAATGAACAGGGTTTGATGAATGAAACTGAAAGCTGTAGGTGGAGACTGATAGCCACTGAGGTTATTTTACCCTTTTATTACAGATGCATCAGATGAGTTGTAGGGTTTACAGTCACTACCATTTTATAATTGTATAGTTTTTAACTTTATATTTGATAATTATATTCTATCTCTATAGGTAAATACTTTTTTCCTTCTAAAAAAAACATATTTTGTAAACACATTTTAAGCAAATAATAGTTTTAACGGGTATTCATTTGTAATAATTTCTTAACAGTTAATGAATAACTTTCTGAGTCATGTCTGCAGGAAATGGTTTCTGTTTATAAAATAGATATTCTAATTTCTATTACTAGCTATACTTTTTAACAGATTTTTGGTTCTCATAATAAAATTAAGTGAAAAAATAAGTATTAAAAGACAAGGTATTGGGCTGGGGATTTAGCTCAGTGGTGCTGCCACCTGCCTTGCAAGCACAAGGTCCTGAGTTCAATGCCTGGTACCGGAAAAAAAAAAGACAAGGTATTATGTTAAATTTTCTATTCTACTTCAATTAATATAATTAATATTTTAATTTTTATTGCCTGTTATTTTATCTTTTTTTGCAATTTAAGCCAACTGTGTTTCTCTAAATCTTGTTTTTAATTTGCTCCATTTTTTTTTTCAATGTGGGATTGAACACAGGCCTTGCTCATGCTAGGCAAGTATTCTGCCACTGCACTGTAACCTGACTCAACTCTTAAACAATTTTAGCATTAATTTTCTTTTTTTTTCAACTTTACTTTAAAACGTGGCATATATCTTTTCCTATTCTGAAGGGAAAACTTTTAAAGAAAACACTGAATCTTATTTGTTTAAAGAAAAATTGAAAATTTAAAAAAATTATTAGTGATTTCCATTTTTAAAGCTAACCTATGACAGAACATTGTAAACATAATGTCAGATACAAACTTTTTAAAAAGTTAATCATTTAATAAGTATAAACTATAATCAGTAGAACTAAAAAATTTCATGATCGATGGTTAGAAGAAAGCACAATATGCTCATGTCCTCATTTTTTCCTGTCATGGATGTCAAGACCTACAGTCTACATTGATCTCTTGGGGTAGCATCATAGCTGTGGTTACAGGTTCAAATCAAAGAGATTTGCCAGACATCAGTATGCTTTAGTCTAAGACAGGGTTTTCCAACTTTGGTGTTACATACCCTTTACCCAGTTTCTCCGAATAGTAGCACCCTGCCAAGCTATGATCCAATATCACAAGCAGGATGTTGGTGTTGATATTATCAAGTTCCATCACCACAAGGATCCCTCACTCTCCCCAGAAGGCACTTTTGATTTCTTTTCTTCTATCCCTGCCCCAAATGCTTTATAGCCAGCCCAACTACCTTAGGTACCCCACAGCTACTCCAGGAGATATTTGCTTTGGGACAGTGGGCTTTTGGACATGGATCTATCCTAGATGACTCTGCCCTGCAGCCTTTCTGGGGGATTCCATCCCTCTGCAACCTTCCATGGGGCAGGGTGGAGGTGCCCTTCCCTACCCATGACCAAATAGAAAGCCTGACACAAATTACATGTGCCCACCTTTTTTTCTATATAAGGAAACTCCCCATACTCTTAGTGAGTTCAGCCTATGTGCTGTTCCCCCTGATGCTGCCACATAGTCCTAATATTGCCTCTCAGATGGCATTTTGCCTACTTATGATTTCTATCTCAAGTAGACCATGCTGAAGTGGTACACTTAAGAGCTGTTGACATTGAAGGCTACTGGTATTAAAAGCAAACAGCAGCCAGAGCTGTAACACTGTAAATGGCTAGCAGCAGAGAATGATGAAGAGCTGCAGAGAATTGCTAGGAGCCATGATCTCTAGTAGCCAGAAGAGTTCTCAAGGCCTGCTGATAGTTGCTGGCTCTGAGCAGCAAGGAAGGCCTCTAGCCCTAAGAGCTGATAGCTACTATTCAGAGCATAGGGCCATTAACAGTAAATTAGCTACATTTTGACAATTTGTGATTTCTATGCCAATTGACCAAGAACCCTCAACTAACTGGTAACATTTTGGAAGCTCATTATGGGGACTTTCCCTTTTATAGGTCCCTAAAGAAGAGGATGGACAATAATGATGATCATAAACAGCTCAAGAACTTTCCCATTTATTATTTGCATCTTTCTTATAACAAAAAAAACCTCAAACTAGTTGGTGAAAAACTGGGCAAGGATCTACTGAGTATACAATGTCAAAAACCAAGCTCTTTGTCACTAGATGCTTACAGATATAAATGAAGGAGGAAAATTGCCACAGCCTGGTGAGGTTAAGAAAAGCTGTGAGGATGGAGGAATGTGTGCAGACTGGATTTTGGAAAAAGAACCTGAGTTCGAATGAGAAAAGAAAGGGCATCAGTTGTAAAGAGACCTGCAGTGCTTACAGGAAGAGAGATCTGTAATCCTTACAGGAAGGTCAGTTGAGGAAGATCCAGACCGATGCTTATAGAGTCTTCATGCCCTTAATGAGAAAAAGAATTCAAAGATATTTTGCAAAGTTCCACAAAAACATATGACTTCCTGAACACATTCCAAGGGCTCCTCCTGGATTCAAGAAGGGTCTATGCAAATGAGGGGCTGCAGCCTACCTGACTTTGCAGTGGCTCCGACTGTGAATTTGGTGGTTGAATCATATGGGGCCTGCTTGGTGCTGAGTGTGTACAGACAGGGGACCAGAGATGGTGAGTGGTTTGTGTTCGGGAATGAGTTTATAGTCTGTGCAAGAGGTGTGGGGTAGAGATGACAATCATTTAACAAATATGTTCTTGAGTGTCTTTTATGTGCCAGGCTAAGTGCTGAATGTTCATAAATAAAATAGGCACAGCCCACTCTTCAGAGAGCCTAGAGTCAGGGCATGGTGGTAATTGAAAAGAGATCACAGCTTGGGACAAAATAGGACTGAGCAACTGCAAGCACTTTGAGTTTCTAGCTGGGTGACCTCAGATATGTTACTTCACCTCCAGAGGCAGCTGCTTCTCTGGTCTCATGAGGGACCAAGGGAGAAACTGGCTTGCAGGTTTGGGTTGATATTTATTCTCAATGCCTTGTGAAGCCTGATGCAGGGCAGGTAGGGGTGGTGGTTATTTTTCCTTTCTGCTGCCTGCATGGTGCTCACCACCCAGAGTGATCATAGTGTCCTGATACATGCAGTGTAAGTCTGAGCACTACGAGGGCATTGAGGAGCAGCTGCCTGTCTTCCTGGTTCTGCCTTTCATCATTAACGTGGCAGCCCTGTGATGGTCAGGGGCTTTTCCTCCGGTTCATCACTGTACCTCACCACCTAAAATAAGGACCAGTATGCACACGGCGCTGAGTACATGTCTGTTGAGTGAGCAAATGAAATAAACATACTTGGTGGGCTCCATTTCTAACAGTTTGACATGCTCGTCATCTTTTACTTAACTTTGGGCTCATTTTTCTTGGGCATTGTTGCTTCTTGTCAGTTTTTCTTAACCCCAGCACCATTGACATTTTGGGCTACATCATTCTTTGTTGTCCTGGACATTTAGGATGTATAGCAACATTTCTAGCCTCTAGTCACTTGACATGAATAGTACCCCACGTTGACAAACAGGAGTGTCTCTGGATCTTGCTAAGTGTTCCCTGTGGGCAGAATTGTCCCTGGTTGCGAAACACTTGTACATGCAGAAGTTTTTGGCTTGGTGAAAGAGAAATTCTCAAAGCCTTAGGGTCAGAGGAAATTGTCAAGGTCATTTACTATCAATTCTCACAATTCTTGTAATTGTCTAGGCCAATACAGAAGCACACACTTCCTCTGCTGTATTCTTGGTGGCAGCAAGTGAATCAGCCCTTAGCATACTCCTTGACTCACACAGTGACAGAACCATTCTGAGCACAAGTCTCCTTTGAGCACATGGGCAGTGTGCCTGTATGTAGACACTGTGGTTAGACCCTTGGCAGTTATGATGTGTCAGAAGGACAAAGGCACTGGGGTAGCTCAGGTATTTCTTGCTATGCCCACTGACCACACCAAACCCTGCCATCCTGTTGCTTCCCTTTCTTTCATTTGTGTTTATTGATCTCAGTCATCTCCCTGACCCTTCCAGAACCATTTTGGAAATGGAAGGCAGGAACGAGAAAAGAGGAAGAGAAGAAAAAGGAAAAAGGAGGTAAGAAGACTGCAAGCATGATACCACTAAACGATACACCCAGATTATTGGCCTTTATTTTATTGGACTACCATAGAGTTGGGTCCATCCTATCAGTTTCACCCAAAAGTAAGGTTAGAATGGTTCTGCCACTGTCTGAAGATGGCCTTTTTATATAAAATCTCTTTGAAGGTATCTAGAAGATGCTTCTCAGATTTTCTCTTGAGCATAGATAATTGGTGTGGGGTGGCCTCTTTGTAGACTAGGACAGGAAATACATTAGACTGATACCAAATACAGTATTTGTATTTGGTAAAAGGAAGAATACATTTCTCTGCTGTGTTAAGCTATGGAGGGATCCCTGACGCACGGGTCTCCAATAGCTGGCCCCTTTCATGTTACCCTGAATTGGCGCTGTTTGCCATCTTGTTTCACTGATTGTCACATGTCTCCACGCCTGGGGTTACACTTTGTCCACACAGCTTGCAACACTGGCAGATACTTGAAAAGGCCCTAGTTCTAGGGAAGGGAAAATGATTTTGGCTTGCCTTACTCTTGAAGGCATGGATATTTTTGAGTGTACTCCACTTGCCATTGACACAGGGAACCACTGTGCTGGTCACTGGTGACATGGGCTGGGTTCTTAGGGGACTTTTGGAGTGAAGTAAGCCTGTTCCTGAGAGGTCAGGGCCTGTGGAGTTCCACTTCTGTGACTTGAACTTACCTCCTTCCATAATGTTCCTTTAAAAAAAATTTATCCCCGGCACTTTGACACCCAGTATCTGTATGCAAATGTGTGAACTTAATGTATTATTTATTTATTGTGATTTATACTTGCTTATTGTGTAGATGTGGATATGCCAACAGTGTTGGGCTCTTCTTAAGGAGCTTCAGAAGCTACAAAAGAAATAAGAAAAATGAAAGACAGAAAGTGTGTTCTCTCTGGTCCACTACCAGCCAAGCTTCCAGTTCTAGATATTGCAATCTTGGACAGCTTGTGCCTCAGTCTCTCATCTATAAAATAGGTACGGTGAAACTATTTGCCATCTTTACAAGATGACATATGAAAAGGGCTGAGTATAATGTCTAACAGGTAAACACTAAAGAAACATGAGTCATTCTGCAAAATGATATCTCTACAGTGATCTGGTTTGGTTCTTAAGCTTTATCTGGTCTAACTCGGTCTTCTTTTTTCTTTAGGTTCCATTTTTTGGGCGGAGAATGCATCACACGTGTCCCTGTATGCCAGGCTTGGCCTGCTTACGGACTTCATTTAAGCAGTTTATTTGTTTAGCCCGAAAGTAATCATGTTAGAGTAGAAACTTTAAATGTGAACAGCCACATTGTGTCTATAAAGTCTTAACTTGTGATTGTGCCAGATAAAATTATGCCAGAAAGAAATGCTCTTGTTTCCTCTGCTTTCCAAGTGACATTTTTATCTTTGATTTTTTAAATGATTTTTTTTCTATTGAAAGGGAATTTTAATTTTGGATAGAAATATAAAGTGCAAAGCATTATGGAACTGGTTCTCATTTCCTTGTTTGTTTTTTGGTTTGGTTTGGTTTGGCTTTTTTAATGTCAGTAACTCAGCTGCTTTCACAAAAGTGAGGAGAATAAGAATTGACATTTTGTTAGAGGCACTTTTTTCTTACAACTCCTCTGTCCCTTCCCCACACAGAGACACATACACTTTTTGGTCTCTTGTCTCTTAGTTCTCAAAGAATTACAAAGCCCTCACTTTTTTGCTCTTCCATTTCCCTCACTGCCCTTTAGCATTTTAGAGAGGAAGGTCTGGATCTGTAGTTTGCTGGGAGAATCACTGGTTCAAACTGAACTATTTGCCCGATATGTTTAACAGTGACAAGAGGATGTAGTTGAACTGGATACTCCCAGCTACTCCTTGGAGGGCAGAGAATTTTCCTGCACCTGTCTAGCCCAGTGAACTTCAACTCTGCTCTTTGTTGTAAGGACAGAAAGAATAAAAAGCCAAATTATCTTAGTCCAGATTTCTAGATTTTGGGTTTTGTTTAAACAAAACATCTTTTCCAATACAATGATTTTTTTCTCTCTCTCTTTCATGAAATTTATTTGTTTTAAATTCTCCTGTTAGAGATGTTCTAAAAAATGTCACTTGATGGGCCAGGGTTTTAGCTCAGCGGTACCTCCACCTGCCTCCCAAGTGCAAGATCCTGAGTTTGATCCCCGGTACCAAAAAAAAAAGTCACGTGAGGAAATATTGAGTTTAATCTGGCATAACAGTAGTCATCATTTTTAAATTGGAATTAAGTTATAATTTAAACTTTATTTGTAACCAAAAGGTCTATCATAATGGATTCCCTGGTATCTTGCCATTTGTACCTGTATCAATATTGCTGTGTAAAAATTCTGTATCAGAATAATGACAGTACTGTACATCATTTGATTTATTTTAATATTATATCCTTATTTTTTTCATGGTTTTATTGTGAGCAGATTTCTATAGAGGCCACATCCAAAAATGGGTGAAGACTCCAAAGTCAGTAAAATAGGCCTAACACTACGTGCATTTCTATGTTACATCCAGAAAAGTTGTGTTTGCCTGAATTTTAAGGTAATCTAAAAGAAATAAACAATGTGTACATCAATGAAGTTTTGGAGCATGAAAGAAAATCATGACATGTAGAAGTGATTGTAATCAGGAGTGGACTCATGGGCTTTCAGGGTATTGATGGAGCAGGCAGGGAGTGTATCATGGGGGGGAAGGCAGCATGCTAGGTGCTAATCATACAGCCATGCCAACGTAGGCTGGCCTTGAAAACCCACTAAGTATTATAAACTGGTTTAACCTCACAAATAAACAACATATGAAATGAGTTTAACTGACTAAACTTGGCCCATGCTAACCCACCAAATGTTCCTCCCACCAAAAAAAAATGTCCATTTTATAGTTATTTACCCAGCCAGGATTTACAGTTGCCCATTGTGTGGGCTTTTATCCCTTGGGCTAACATGTCCCATAAACATATAGGATCTTGCTGCACTAATTACCATAGTTGGTCAGAAAAGTAGTATTTTTTATTTAGTTTAGTTTGGGTTCAAGAAACATTCCTCCCCAGTGTTTGTTGAAAAAGCTTGACTTCAACAAGTGGAATTATGGGTGAAGGAACAGGCACTCCAGCAATCCTGCTAAATTTGTTTTCACATAATGTTACAGACATCCTTTTCATAAGTGGTGAGAACTTATTTGGGCCAATCATCTATTTTCACCAAAGTTAAAAACATAACCAACTCATACACAATTTTGCTGTCACATATACCAATTCAATTTTTTTTTAAATTGATACCTAATTGGATAGACTATGTGTGTAAAACCAAAGCCAAGGGAATGAAAGCGCAGTCTGTGTGGAAAATTAAGAACTGCGCTGGCTGGCTCAGTGCCCCAAAATGAGAGCAGAGTTTTGTCATTTGCTACCTTTCCCTTTGGTTACTGTTCTTACTATTTTTAGTGTACCCTTCTATTTGGAGATTAGTTTTTAATTTGCTACCATAAATGACACATCTCAAGTAATTGTTTCAAAAATCTCATAAGGTTCTTGGAGATTTTTTTAAAAAATCATTTTATGCAGAGAATATGAAGCCTGGCCCTGTAAGGACTGTGGTGCTGTTTCTTCCAGTTCCTAGCATGCTCCTGCATTAGTGTTGGGACTTCATAGACCATTTTCTACACAGTAAGGCAAGTAGGATTTTCCACAAGAAAAATGAAGTCCCCAGTAGATTTTGATTAAAATATAGGCAGTGCATTCCACCCATCATAAGATAGAAATAGACCTTGTGCCAAACTCAAGTGGACCTCTGGATTTCTTTTCCAATGTTGACTTTTATGTAAACTGCCATCTCTAACTTTAATGTTTTATTAAAAGCATTTTTATACATTTTATTAAACATATTATTAAAAGCATTTTCCTCAGAAACCCTTCAGTTTAATTGAAGGCCATCATGTTTCTCAGCATTTCTTTCTTTTTCTTTTTTTTAGTACGGGGGATCGAACTCAGAACCTTGGCTTCCGAGGCAGATGCCAGAACCACTGAGCTAAATGCCCAGCCCCATCAGCATTTCAATGTGGCTCTTTTGGTAGAGCCTTACAAAATCAGTCTAGTGATAGGATAGATCAGACATCTAAACCAGTTTTCCTCTTTATTTGCTTCTTTATTTGCTCTAATATCAAAAATATTATCCCACTCTTTTCCAGCTTTGTTTTGTAAGTGACTAAAGTTAGGGACTATTTTAGTTTTAAAGCAGGACATTTTTTTATATCCGGTGAAGATTCACTGGCAACCTTTCATGATTTCTCTTCATGTTGCCATGTATTTCAGATAATATCCTCAGAATTTGACTCTCTGATCTCTCTCCCTAATTTGTTCATTCTTACTACTCCCTTTTGTGTTAAAGTTTTATTGCTTCCAGTATTTTTAAAAATTTTAATTGGGCAATAAACTTGTATATATTTATGGTACACAACATGATGTTTTGAAATATGTATACATTGTGGAATGGCTAAGTGGAGCTAATTAGTATATGCATTACCTCACCTACTTATGTTTTGTGAGAATGCTTAACATCTGTTCTCAGTAATTTTCAAGTATGTAATATTAACTGTTGTCACCATGTTGTAAAACAGATCTACAGATCTCTCTTCTAGCATCTTTTAATATATCCTACAGATGACAGTCTTTAACAGTATGATTTTTAAGTGAACTTTATTACCCTCACCAAAATATATGTTCAGATTTTTCAAAGTTGGCAATGCCATTAACATGCTGTTCTTGGAGTACCATTTGAATTTCTCCATCATCCAACCTGCTCAGCGATTCCAGTTCAACTTGTCTGAGTCTAGGTATTGAAGGTTTTTTTAAGCTTCCTGATTAATTCTAAAACATACTCATAGTTAAGAGCCACTAAACAAGAATAAAGGATTTCATTTCTATGGAAAGGCTTCTGCTAAATGTGACACTATTTGATGAGACACCTCCCTAGTTAGTTTAGAAGTGAAAGCAGTAGCTAAAAGTCTTGTCTTTTCTTGCCACCCTCAACAGTTCCTGTAGTCCTCAGTACAAATGATTGTTTTCTGTTATTCTAGAGGGAAGCTCACAGACTGCAGAGGTATAGTGGCAGTTGCATGCAGCTCATGTGAAGAGTCTGTGCAGAGATCCCTAGAGTTAGGCTAGGGAGGCAGGCCTGGGCCTCACCAGGCTGGCCATTGGCTCTCCCATGAACCCTCGGCTGTCTTGGACCTCTGATGTTCAAGCACACCTTTTGGTTGACTCAGCCTCTGAAATCCCCGACAGATATTCCTTCCTCCAGCCCTTTTCCCTGATAACTCAGGATTTCACCTATTCTGCTGGTTCCTAAATCATCTGAATGCTCTGAAGTCCAGTATTGCACCACACAGTAACTGAATAAATCAGACTAGAAACCAAGAAAGTAGAAAATCATGGTGGTACCCAGGTGACAAAATACACAGGTTAATCTATGTGCCTGCCAAGTGTGTACCTTGTGCCCACCTCAGAATGTCATCGTGAAGTCTGGAATACACATACACACAGTTGTCCCAGCAAGGTAAAATGACAGCCTGCTTCATGAAGAGATCGTTGTGATGAACATTTCCAGGTGTGCTGTCATGTTTGTCCAGGGTTCCTTAACCTAGACACCACTAACTTTCTGGGCCATGTAAGTTGGTATTGTGAAAAATGCTGCCATGTGTTACAGGATGTTTAGCAGCATCCCTGGCCACTACCCACCAGATTCCAGTCACACCCCTTATGTGACAACAGTGTCTCTAGGCATTGCAGGTATCTTCTGGAAGTTGAACTTGGGGATAAATTGTCCCCTTTGAGAACCACTGTTTTGGTCTAAAGCTATTTTGTGTCCACTTGATATTATTTAATGATACATTTTTATTTCATTCTGAAAAGGTAAAATAATATTTTAAAAGTTAAATCTTTCCAAAACCAATAAAAATGAAATATTTTGCATCCAAAGCAGTGAAAAGGTAAACATTTGACACAATCTACATATTCAATCAAAGAAATGTCAATTTGAGGACAGATGTATAGTTGACTACATTTCAAGGAGTAAATTTGTATAAGCTGTTCTTTAAAATAAAGCTTAAGGGCCGGGGATTTAGCTCAGTGGTTTCGCTGCCTGCTGTGCAGGCTCAAGGACCGGAGTTCCATCCCCAGTACCAAATAAATAAATAAATAAATAAATAAATAAATAAATAAATAAATGCTTGGGGGGGGGTGGGGATTTTCCTCAGTGGTTCCGCTGCCTGCCTCCCAAGCACAAGGTCCTGAGTTCAATCCCCGGCACCAAAATAAATAAATAAATAAATAAATAAAAAATTTTAGGTAAAGGGTGCAGATAAGATAAATTTAATCATAGATTAATAATTTGAGATATTTAGATTGCACTTTGAAATAAATTTCCACATTGTTTAAATCCAGATTTTTATCATCTTCATTAAAACAGAAAAATTTGTGAAAAGATGTTTTTATTGCAGAAACTCAAAAACTTTACAAGCAAAATCAGGGAAAATTGTGGGGGGGCGGTTTGGGGTACCAGGATCGAACTCGGGACCTTCCACTTGCAAGGCAGCGGCACCGCTGAGCTAAATCCCTGACAGAAAATTAGGTTTTATTAAGTTATATTTGAATAATTGTTGAGAGATTAAGACTGGCATGAATATATCTAGCTCACTCCTAAAAATAAAGCAGAGCAACAAAACTTTTTATTGTGGACAATTTTAAACACTTTTAAAAATCATGGAAGTCTTGCATATCCATCAGCCAGTATCTTATCTTACTACCATCTCAATGTCAGTTTTGTTCCATCTCTGCCCCCAACCAGTCCCACCTCCACCCCTTCTGCATTGCCTCGAACGAAATCAACTTAGCATCTTCTTGACAAAGTCTGCTAGTCACTATCTGTGTTAGTCCATTTTCCACGGCTATAACAAAATACCCAAGACCACAGTTTTGGAGCCTAAAGTCCAAGCAACCAGCATGGCACCAGCTTTGATGAGGCCCCCTGGCTGTGTCACACTATGGCCCATGGCACAAAAGCAAGAAGGAGCAAGAACAGCTATCGTCACACAGTGAGATAGGAAGACAGAGCCAGGCTGGCAAGGAACCTGGCTTTCTCTTTTATAACAACCCTCTGGATAAAACTAACATCCATTTTCCCATAAGCATCACTCTTAATCACCGAATTATTTCCCATTAAGCCCTACCTCTTAGAGGTTCCACACCACCTTCAACACTGTCCACCACACTCCCGGCACATGAACCGCTGGGGCCCAAATCACAACCAAACAGCAGCTCTATTTCATATGGGAAAGACAGGTACATGCTTGAGTGTTATCAATGTCACCCCAGTCCCTCTTCATGGTGGCCCCCTGCTGATGTGTCCAGATGTGGCCAAATCCCTTTTATTAATCAGCCTATATTCTAAAACATTTGCCCTTGAAATCTCAAGTTGGAGTTCTGAATGCAGGAACAAAATCTTTCAGGCCCAGAATGTGCATATGAGTGAATACTTGCTCCTGTATAACATTTTAAAAGGTAGCATTTTTCTTCTCAACATAGGA